TCTCTCTCTCTCTCTCTCTCTCTCTCTCTCTCTCTCTCTCTCACACACACACACACACACATCCACACCCCTCGCTGTGTGCATGTGTGCGACCGCACGTGCGAGAGCACAGGCTCGCCCTTATTCGCATTGAAAAAAAAAGTGGCGCTAAGCCTTAACGCAAATTGAAAAAGCTAAGAAAAACGGAATGCACTCTCTATATCGTCCCCAGATAAGGGAGCACGAAGCGAGGGAGGACGGAGGGCCGAGGTAGGTAACGCCACCGGAGGGAGGAGGGAGAAGGCGAGGCAGGAAAGAAGGAAGGAGAAAGGGAGGAAGGAGGGAGGGCCGATGGGGCAGGGGTGAGGGAGGGAGGAGCGAGGGTCGAGGCAGGAATGGAGAACGGGCCGAGGGAGGGAGGAGAGAGGGTCGAGGATTCCTGAGGACGGGCCGAGAGAGGAGGGATGGTGATGGTGCCTCTCTCTCTCTCTCTCTCTCTCTCTCTCTCTCTCTCTCTCTCTCTCTCTCTCTCTCTCTCGATGGAGGGAGGAGAGAGGACGGGCCGAGAGAGAGAGAGAGAGAGAGAGAGAGAGCACGGATCCACGATGAGCACCGAGCACAAAAAGCATGTATCCACGATGAGCACGAAAAGCACGGATCAACGATGAGCACCAAGCACCAAAGAAAAGCAGGATCCCCAATGAGCACAAATCCACGATGAGCACCGAGCACCAAAAGCACGGGGCACCAAGCACCAAAAGCACGGGGCACCGAGCACCAAAAGCACGGATCGACAATGAGCACGTGATCATGCACCAAAGAGAAGCACGGATCCACGATCAGCATGAAAAGGACGTATCCACGATGAGCACCGAGCACGAAAAACACGTATCCACGATGAGCACAGAGCACCAAAGGCACGGATACGATGAGCGCGTGATCATACACCAAAGAAAAGCACGGATCCACGATCAGAACGTGATCATGCACCAAAGAACAGATCCACGATCAGCACGTGATGAAAAGCACGGATCCACGATGAGCACCGAGCACCAAAGATGCACAATGAGCACCGAGCACGAAAAGCATGTATCCACGATGAGCACCGAGCACCAAAAGCATGGATATGATGAGCGTGTGATCATACACCAAAGAAAAGCACGGATCCACAATCAGAACGTGATCATGCACCAAAGCACGGATCCGCGATCAGCACATGATGAAAAGCACGGATCCACGATCAGCACGTGATGAAAAGCACAGATCCACGATGAGCACCGAGCACCAAAGATGAGCAGCAAGTTCCCGTCGAGCACCAAAGGAGAGCACAGTCCAAGAGAGAGAGAGAGAGAGAGAGAGAGAGAGAGAGAGAGAGAGAGAGAGAGAGAGAGAGAGCACGATGAGCACGTCGCGTGCTGTCGCGTGCCATGCGTGCCGTCGCGTGCCGTAGCATGCCGATGAGCACCGAGCACCAAAGATGAGCAGCAAGTTCCCGTCGAGCACCAAAGGAGAGCACAGTCCGAGAGAGAGAGAGAGAGAGAGAGAGAGAGA